TGAAAAGATTTCTTGTGCAATATGTTGTCAAGATAGTTTTCCCCATATTATCCAGGTTTAGGGCTACGTTATTACATCAATGTTAGAGAATTTTTGTTTGAATGCAACTTTAGGACTGAACTAGATAAGGCGCCTTTGATGTAATTAGCAACTATGCGGGGTTGCAGACTGCCAGAAATAGTGCAAATTGAGTCCACTTTTAGAGTTAGGGTTAGGGTTAGGGAATCATGGGAACTGTATTTTATTGTGGCACCAGAGCTCTCTGACAGAGAAGGCTCAATGTCTCAGAAAAAAACAAAAAACAATTCCGATGATTCCCTAGCATTAACCCTAACCCTAAAAGTGGACTCAATTTGCACTGTTTCTGGCAGTCTGCAACCCCCCTATGTAAATGTTCTTTGAAATGTAAATTGTGCACAAAGTAAAGGTGTAGTGGATCTAGTCTGGCCAAGGAATCTACATTTTAAACCTTTGCTCTTTACTGCAATGTGGTGGGGTTGACTTCAGTGAGAAACATACTATACCAGTATAGAATTGGTAAAGTGTGGACCCAGAATGGATCAAGGTTTACATTTATTATTTTTATTACAAGAAAAACTTTTATTCTAAGTTAGAAAAAGAGTTTAACATTCATTGCATAAGAAGGGCATTATATATTATTCGAAAGAAATACAAAAGGCATTTTTATCCTAAGATACCAATATGGGCATCCTCACAAGAGGCACATCACAAGAAAGAAGGCTCCCTGCAAGATAACTAGATTACATATGAAAAGTTATTGATAAAATCAAAGGAGGGTTTAAATCAAGAGAAGAATTATGACAAGAGGGGTTGGAAATTAACTGGTTAAAATATCTACAGATGAGAGAGGACTTTGAAAAAGACCCTGGAGACCCTGGAATAGAAAAGGAACTGAATAGTTTCAATAAAATTTTAAAAGGAGGCGAACAACATTGGATAGGAAAAATGTACAAGCTCCTATTAGATATAGAACTAGGGGAAGAAATGGTGAAACATAATATGATTAAGTGGATGCAGAATATCGGAAACTCAATACCCCTACAAAACTGGGAGAATGCATGGAAAAGTAATATGAAATTTACTAAATGTAATGCACTAAAAAAAACTACCACAAATTTTTTTATAGATGGTACATGATTCCCATTAGGTTAGCAAAAATGCAGAAACAAAACAATAACACCTACTGGAAATGTAAAGCTAAGGTGGGTACTATGTATCATATGTGGTGGCATTGCAGAAGGGTTAAAAAATACTGGAAAATATATATATATAGAGAGAGTCATGTGTAAAATAATACAAAAAAGTATCCCTCTAAAACCAGAACTGTTTTTGTTACATATGGTAGACGTAGTGAAAGGTAAACTAAGCCAAGATGAAAAAAGTCTGGTTTTATATATGATAACAGCAGTGCGGGTAGTATATGCAAGATATTGAAAATCTGAGAAAATACCTACCACACAGGAATGGGAAGCTAAACTAAATGAATTAGTGACCATGGACAGATTATCTATGTATATTGCAGGAAAGTCATCACGACAATATGAAAAGAAATGGGAGCAAATACAAAAACAATGTAGTTAGAATAAACAAAAACAAAAGGGAAATGATATTAGATTGATGGTTGGTTGAAATGCATATCTGGGTACACACACACACACACACACACACAGATGTAGGTCAAGCTACCTTTCTTTTTGCGCTAGTTAGAGAAAAAAGAGAAATAAGAGTTGGGCATCTCTAAATAAGTTCTTAATTCACGTTTGAAGTAGAACTGTTGTTTATAGTAGCTATATAAATACTGATGCCGGGTAATATTTTGTTATATAGTAATGACTACACTTGTACAACTCTCCTATTTTCGTATAATATTGTGATTCAATTTTTTATTTTAAATAATAAAAATAAAAATTGAAATGCAAAAACAAACAAACCCAAACACACAAGAAAAACTTTCATCCACACTCTTTGAAGCTTTTCTTTTAATGCAAGTAGCTAGCATAGGTCACTGACCTGCTCTGAGAAGGGTTAAAATTGCCTTATCCACTGGCTTAGTATCATCACTCCTTCCTCATCCCCAGTGCTTCTTATTTTCTTTTGTGAAAGCCATGTGAAAGTTAGTTGCATAGAATCATAGAGTTGGAAGAGACCACAAGGACCATCCAGTCCAACCTCCTGCCATTCACGAACACAGGATCAAAACACCCCCAACAAATGGCCATCCAGCCTCTGTTTAAAAACCTTCAAAGAAAGAGACTCCACCACACTCTGAGGCAACATATTCCACTGTTGAATAGCTCTTAGTGCCAGGAAATTCCTCCTGATGTTTAGGTGGAATCTCTTTTCCTGTAGCTCGAATCCATTGTTCCATGTCCTAGGAGTTTATTGCATTGTCTTTTCTCCCTGATCCAGGTGTGGTCTGAAACCTTTTAAACACGGATTTTATTGCATGCCTCCGTGCCCAGGCAGGAGGCATCCCATACCCAATCTGGACTTCTCCTTTACTTTGCAAAGACCTTGTGCATGGAGGCATGCGATAAAATCAGGAAAAAGGGCAGTGTGATAAACTCAGTCTCTGGAGCTGCAGAAAACAAGCTTACTCCTTCTTCAGTATAACTCCATGAATGACTCCTTGTGTAGGTCTTTCTTTAATCTCCCTTTTATTTCAGGGATGGGCAAAATGTGACTACATGGCATGAATAAACTTGCATAGAATTGAGATCCAAGATTGAAATGTCCAAGACTATATCCACACTGAAAAACTATAGCAAATATATACTACTTCAGCTGCCCTGGCCCTGCTGGGATGAGTAGTTTTGTGAGAGACTTAAAATTCTCTCAATCACTCCCTTGAACTACAACACAAGAACAATCTGGCAGAGAGTTCTAAGGATCGCATCAAACTACAAATCCCAGGATTCCATAGGATGAAGCTATGGCAGTTAAATTGGTATCAAAGTGCTATAACAGTAAGTAGTTAAGAATCATACCTGGTGCTACTTTATTCCCTTAGCCCAGCCATTAGTGGAAATCAGCTCATGAGACCCCTTGTTGTTGTGTGTCTTCAAGTTGCTTCTGACCTATGGCAACCCTAAAGAGAACCTATCATGGGGTTTTCTTGGCAAAATTGTTCAGAAGAGGTTTGCCATTGCCTTTCCCTGAGGCTGAAAGCATGTGACTTGCCCAAGGTCACCCAGTGGGTTTACTGGCTAAGTGGGGAATTGAACCCTGTTCTCCAGAGTCACATTCCAACTCTCAAACCACTATGCCATGCTAGCTGATATTGAAGTCAGGACCCTGGCAAAAAAAGGAGGTTCTACACCCTTATAGTAGAAGCTGATTTTTCTTGGTGTAATTTGCAGTCAAGGTAGTACTGGAACTAAAAACCAAGATTTTTAAGCTTGCTTTTGAGGAAGTGAGTCAACATAGAGGTTCAGCTATAGCAGGGGTAGGCAACCTTTCCCCTTTAAGGGCCGAGGGACTTCAACTCCCAGAAGCCTCAGCCATGTTGGCCAGTAGCTCCTGGGATTCTGGGAGTTGAAGTCACTCGGCCCTTAAAGGGGAAAGGTTGCCTACCCCTGAGCTATAGTGTGTTTTGGTCTCTTGGTTCAAGCTCATGCATCTACATGCAGCCTTAAGTGTATGTATGTATTTATATGCGTATTTGTGTTTCCCCTGTAGCCCTTACTCCATGGACAGAAAAAATACCCTCTGTCTGAACATGAAAATAATTTAAAAAGGGGGGAAAATCAGGGTTAAGTGTCTGTCATTCCCCTGTTCAATTTCATCCAGTGTCTCCATCCTTTCTCTTGAAATGCAGGTTAATTCTGGAGAGCTATAGATAGACCTTTCTTGCTTTTGCTGGCTGCTGATCTGCCCCCTCCTTTCTCCTCTGCTGGAGACAGTGTCGAGGACAATTATCCAAGCTGCATAAAAGCTGTTTCCCTGTAATAGGCTGAACTCCCTGTACTGTGACAAACTGCCCAGCTGCTCTGGCTCTATCCCTCCTCCTTCCCACCCCCCAGCTGCACCCTTTCTTTTCCGGTCTCTCTTATTTCCTTCCTTCTTGAAATCACTTGCATTCAAAAGACAGAGAATAAATGGCCTAGTCCAGGAGTTGCATAAAATGCCGCATGGCTACTGTGCTCATGTTTATCCTTCTTCATGGTAGTAGCTTTTTGCTTCTTGTGGGAGTCTTTTTTATGAGAGGCGAACGCTGCCATTTTGCATGCTGTTGCATGAACCACATCAAGGTTTGTGGAGACAAGCAAAATGGCATCTTTTGTTTGCCAACGCCAAGTAGAACAGGTGTCAGCACCAAGCTTTATAGAGGAACCGAAGCCAATATTTTTGCATGCAACTACTTCTCTGTTGCACATTTGTGTGACCTCTCCTTAAGGCATGCCTGCATTGTACTTATTGTAGGGGAGGAGGTTTGATGTGCTCATGCAACATTTCTGTTCACAGCTGGCCCTTCTGCTAGGCAGAGTGAGGTAGTGATGCTCAGTGATATGAAGAAGGCAATTGCATCCCTCTGTCTGTCCCCTTTTTTGAAGGAGGGAGCAATATGTTTCAGACACTGTGTCCTGCATACCTTAAGGTAGCATACTGTCCTCAGTGGAGGTGAAGAAAGCTGTTCCCCCATCTCAGTGTTGAAATAAGAGTCAGCTTACCAGTCTACCTGGCTTCTGTAAGTGGAATGCAAAGAGAGGAAAGTACTATCATGCCTCAGGCAGAACAGCCCTTTGTCTACTGCCTATAGTCCACACATGCTGTGGGTATCAGATCACATCCATCCCTGTTCTCTCTTTAGGGGCTGATGGAAGCATTTGCAGGAATACCATATGCTTTGTAAACTGCAAGCATCAGCCCAGGATGTCTTCGTGGGAAAAAGGTACCTGCTTTTCCCCCCATACACGCTTCTTGCACAATCTAAACTTGTGGAGATTTGTTTATTCACTGTATTGCATTTATATTCCAGAGCCAGAATGGTGTAGTGGTTTGAGTGTTGGATTGTGACTCTGGAGACCAGGGTTCAATTCCCCACTTGCTCGTGGAAACCCATTGGGTGACCTTGGGTGAATCACACCCTCTCAGCCCAAGAAAACCCTGTGGTAGGTTCGCCTTAGGATTGCCATAAGTCAGAAACCACTTGAAGGCACACAACAACAACTATTTATACCTCACTTTTCCTATAATAAGCACAAGACAACTTACACAGCTCTTTTCATCTCAATTTTTATCCTCACCACAACCCTGTGAGGTAGATAAGGTTGACAGTGAGTCACCTAGTGGGTTTCAAAAGTAAGTAAGAACTAGATTCCTGATCTCCCAAGTCCCAATCCAGTGCTCTAGCCATTGCACCAGATTGGTTCTTCTGTAAACAAAGAAACTAAAACTTGTTCTGGTCTGCATCAGGATTTCTTGTGAGACGTTAGGAGAAAGAGGTTCTGGCAAAATGTAAGAGGAATTTGAGTATGTATGTTTCCGTGACTCTCACAATCTCTCTCTAGGTGCATTTGCGTTCTGCAGCACGTCTCCGGGACCTGTGCTGTGCAAACCGGGGCACTTTCATCAAAGTAGGACAGCACCTGGGAGCTCTAGACTATCTGTTGCCTGAAGAATACACCAGCACGCTCAAGGTGCTCCACAGCCAAGCTCCACAGAGCAGCATGCAGGAGATTGAACAAGTGATCCGGGAGGACCTAGGCAAAGGGGTAGGTCAGACAATAGGCACTTATTGACTCCACACAAGCAAGAGCAATACATGTATTCTGGGTTTGGAAAAACCTTTTGAGACCAGCTCCCCTACCAACACCACCTTCAAACAGCATAGGTAATGCCTATGCTGCCTGGGGGATTTAGGGAGTGGCACTCAAAACAACAACAACAAACAAACATGTTTCCGAGAACTGATTTTGGGCAACAAAATCTTTCTGTGAGTGATCTTGTAATCAGTGCTCAGTTCTTTGTGCTCTCGTTTTGATGCAGATGATACAGGCATCTTTTCTCATGCTAGTGCTCCTGTTATGGAATACTATATTTTTTCCAGTGCTTCTCCTGGGCTGATTTGTCTCTGTAGAAATACAAGTTCTTACTCCTGGCTTTCTTCTTTTTTACTGCTCTGTTTTTTATGTGCCAGTGTTTTTAGGTGATGGCCAACAGACAATGTCTGTGCTTTTGCTAATGACAAGCTATGCTAGCAAACATTACTATTATTATTTCATTTATTTATATCTGGGATTTCTTCTGATATAGGGACTTAAGGTGGCTGCCCCGTTACACACACACATGTTTCCTAAGTTCGTTTTTAATATCTTATACAGGAGCTCACTCCTGGCAGGGCTATCTTGTTACAGTCAGTTGTAGGAGTTTTCTGTCTTTAGTAATTGGACACAGATAGTGTTTTCTCTTCATGATTTCTAGTTTATTGTGACTGCCCAATTAAAAAGTGGATCTGGAGTGAAATGGTGAAGTTATACAAGCAGAACAAGATCGATGCCAATTTTGGGTCACATTTTGTCTGCCAAGTTAAACTCAGAATATTAATTTGACTGACAGAAAGCTTGGCAATTGGACCAGCAGTGAAAGTGAGGGTTGAAGAGACCTCATGAGCTCAGATGTTCAACTAAGTTGGGTACAGGATAAGTAGGATAGGATAATATACAGAGGGATCAGTGAGAGACAGTGAGGTTAGATAGTAACAGGTTGGAAGCAAAAGGCAATCTGGCAGGCTGCATTACATTAAAAATGTCAGAAGCAGTATTGATCTGATCCAGCAAATCACTGGCACTTAGCTTCTGTCTAAGAAAGATATCTTTGCTTGTGATCCAGAGTTCATAGGCAAGACATGTTAGCACAGAACTGGTAAACCCTGTGCTATTAGAGTAGTCCATGGTACAACAGCTTTGTCTGATAGCCTAAAGGTCAGGTGTTAAAATCTTACAAGTGACTACTTCAGACAGAGCTATAGGTTACATCAGAGAAGGATACTTGAACATTGTTTTTCCCCCCTCCTTACAGATGTTGCAGGTATCCTGGATTTATAATGGCAAATTAATCATGATAGAGAATTAATAGGAATACTAGGCCCCCCACAAGAAAATGTTGCTTGGGTGTGGGAGGGAAGCCTTCAGATTTCCCTCTTCTGAGGCAAGGGAACCTCCACAGAAAAAGTGGAAAGGCGTGATTGCATCATTCATCACATACTGTGTCTTCAGGGGCTCTCCATTGGCTCTCATCTTCACTGAGTTATTTCCTCCCTGAGAAAGAAGGGGGTTACTAGACCTTAGAGAAAAGATAAGAAAAGGAGATAGGATGGTGTGCCCAAGCAGCAGCTGATTAGTGGTCTCTGTGGGCTACTTCCTTTCTCTGCTGATCTGTATGTAAGGGCTACAAATACATTGTCTTGATTGCCTAGCTTACAATTTTAAGATAGTGTTGGAGTCTAAATCTATAGTAAAACATGTTTCTCACTTCTGCTGTTGCTGCTACTGTTGTTATTGTTGTTGGTGTTGTTTTTTTTTTGCCCTTCCTCTTTGCCCCTTCTTAAAGAATTTATACATTTTTGAAAATCTGGGGGATTCCCTTAAATTTGCCAGTACTTCCATCATGCCTTTCTCTGTGTGTGTATGGTGCCATTTTGGATTGATGAACAATGTTGCCCACTCTCCTTAACAGTGGAAATAGAGGTAATAATGGGTTAAGCACACTAACTTAACAACTGTTGGCATGATCTGAATTATTGTACATTATCAGTATTCTGGTAGCAAACATGCTGTTGGCCTTGATTTTATTTTTTTGGTCTGAACTGATCTCCAGTTGCCTCACAGAGGTAATCATAACTGTAATTACAAAGTACTCTTCACTCTCACTTTTTCTCTTGTAAAACTTAACTTAATGTAAGCAAATTGATTGTTGTGGGCCAGGCATAGATGTCAAAGACCACTCTAGCTGAGAACCTGTTGATCGCATTGGTTTCAGGAAAATCAGTCACCAGATAGATGCTTCAGATAATGAATCTTATCACACAGGGAAAATTGGAAGTTTAAACAGGTCAGAACCCATAGTTATCCAGTGTATTAGGTGCAATTGCACAAATGGTTTTCATACGATGTTGTGTGCAAACTGCTTGTAATCTGACAGGAAAGTGACATGAACCAGCAAATAGGCATTTTCGGGAAAATACCGTAAATTCATTTCTGTTTCATTCACGAATTCACCTTTTTTGCGCAATTGCTCTAGTGTGAAAGCCATTTGCGGGATTCTCCACATTTTTGTATTTGTTGCCAGATTTCCCATGCCTCTTTGGGGTGAGTAGCCAGGGCTCTTAAAGGAACAGTTGCTGAGGCAAAGGCAGGGACACAGAGAAAAAGCTTGCTTCTTCCTAGTCTGTGTGAATTTCTCCCTCACCCTTCCCCTTTAGCCAGGGCTCTTAAAGGAACAGCTGCTCAGGGAAGGCAGGGACACTGGTTGCTGAGAGGGACACAGCCTTTTAGGCTGTTTTTCTACTTTTCCTACTTCTTTGGGTAATGTTTTGTTCTTCTTACTTTGGTTGGATACCATTTCTTGGAAAGTAAGGAACAGTTCAGTATATTTTTATAAAGAAAATTGTGTTAATAAAATTGTTTATTTCTCTGGGTGATTCCTGGTGACATAACTACTACTGTGCGCACGCTCAAAAAAAGTGATTACTAAACTATTAATCAGGATTTACACGCAGCTGTGTGAAAATGAAATGCGTGTTCTACCCTTTTTCTCACTTTAGTAATTAGCTTCTAACATGGTATTGTGTTCTGCGTGTGAAAATCATTTGTGCATTGCATGCTTTTGTGGGATGTGGCTGCTTTAATCATTATTGAGATGGAGGTACATATGGTCCCTGTGTGCTAAACTCCTAAGACAGAAAAGGTTTTTAGAGGTCTGGGCAAAGAAAGCAGGGAGGGTCCTTTTAAATACTTGTTCTCTCATAGCTAAGAGGCCTTTAGCGCTTGAGCAATCTGCAAACTTCCCAGATGATGACAGTAAGAAGGCATGTCCTTTGATAGTTAACTGTGTAAGTGTATTTGTAACATTAGTTTCGAAGATTTTTTTTAAGATTGCTTTTAATGAGTGCTTTTATCTGGTTTATTTGTTGTACATCACCTTGGAGCTCTGTAGACTGAGAAGCTATAAGCAAATATTTTAATAAATAAATATGTGAGCATGGATCAACATCCATCTACTTTTGGTGCTCTGTTGGGTCTTGAAGGGTCTGCTTCTATTATTTCCAGCAGGTTCTTCCTGCCTATAGCATGAACTACAGTTTACTATGGCCATTCTGGCTGGGGGAATCTGGAAGTTGTAGTCCATAAAAGCCATTTCCCAAGCTTTTTTTGTACCTGGTACCTGAATTGTGCTGTGGGGTAACTTCCATTGAAAATCAACCTCCTCCAGGCTTTGCCCAGTATACCTTGGGTCAGGAAATAGGATGAAGATAATTGAAGTTATTGGCTGAAAGTACCCTGAAGAACTGCCGAAAGCAAGATAACTATGGAACAACACATGGGCATTGCCAATAGTCTTTGCCGGAACCCTGGAGCTTTCCTTCTACAGAATTACCGGTATTGCTAAAATCAGCAGTAAACGTGATGTTGGCAGAAAGCTACATGCAATCCGTTTGTTCTGCTCATAGCTATATTATACCATTTCCAGACAAGCACCATCAGCCCTTTACATTTTCAAGCCCCCTAATTAACCCCAAATGAAAAAGAAATAAATCTCCTTAATAACAACATAAATCCTTGCTGTCTTTCACACTGAAGCCCTGTGGTAGCAAACAGCTATGTCACCATGATTTCTGCCTAGCTGGGAGTCAGATTACCTATCAGACATCCTGTTATTCTACTATTATTCGTGGCCATTATTCAAGCCTGCAGTGGAGATTGACAAAGGGTAACATGTGTAATAGGGTCATAGACTGTGTTAGAATTTAGAGATGGGCAACCGGTGCTGTCTAAATGTTTTAAAGTACAGCACCCACAATTTCTGGCCATGGTCACTAAAACAGGTAAGAGC